CACGGACGGCTGTGTGTTCGTATCAATATGGGTTTCAGTCAAGGGCACTCCTCAGCAGCCTCTTGGTCAGCAATTGGCGTATCTCTATTTACAGCCATTCAGGGTCACAGCAGCCTGCCATATCCGGGCCTTCTGTTCAAGGCTTTCAAAGACTATGCTGTTTTACTGCTCTGTGTGCCCTATATGCTCCAGGAAAGCAAAAATGGATGTTACGGGGGGGGTTCCTGTCTGGCTACGCTCTCCCCCAGCCAGGAAGCCAGCACTGGCTCCAGTCTTGCGGGAGGCATAATGCTCGACTGCCTATATGGGTTTGGGGTCAGGATGGCTGGAGGGTGGAGGTTCAGGGAAATGGGAAAGGCGGGGGTAGGTGAGTGGGTGACCACGGGGTGTCCAGAACTGATGGGTGGGATCCATGGCACCCTCACCTTCTTGCCAGGAACCCATAAGAACGGCCATACTGGGTCAGACCAATGATCCATCCAGCCCAGTATCCTGTCTGCCAACAGTGGCCAGTACTAGATGTCCCAGAGGGACGGAACACAACAGGTAATCCTCATGCGATTCCTCCCCTGTCTCCCATCTCCAGAGAAACAGAGGCTAGGGTCACCATTCCTGCCCATCTTGTCTAATAGCCATTGATGGACCTAGCCTCCAATGAATCTATCTAGCTTTTTTTTTAACCCTGATAAAGTCCTAACCTTCACCACATCCTCTGGAAAGGAGTTCCAGAGTTTCACTGTGCACTGAGTAAAGAAAAACGTCCTTTTGTCTGTGTTAAACCTGATGCCTATTAATTTCATTTGGTGACCCCTAGTTCCTATATTGTCGAATTAAGTAAATAACTTTTTTCCTTATTCACTTTTTCCATTCCACTCATGATTTTATAGACCTCTATCATATCCCCCCTTAGTCTCCTCTTTTCTAAGCTGAAAAGTCCAAGTATTTCTAATCTCTCTTCAATGGGACCCGTTCCAAACCCCTTAATCATTTTTGGTGTCCTTTTCTGAACCTTTTCCAATGCCAGTATCTTGTTTGAGTTGAGGTGACCACATCTGTATGCAGTATTCAAGATGTGGGTCTTCCATGGTTTTATATAAAGGCAATTAGGTATTCTCTATCCCATTTTTAATGATTCTTAACGTTCTGTTTGCTTTTTGACTGCTGTTGCATGTTGAGTGGATGTTTTCAGAGAACTATCCATGATGACTCCAAGATCTCTCTTGAGTAGTTGTAGCCAAATTAGTCTCCATGATATTGTATATATAGTTGGGATTATTTTTTCCAATGTGCATTACTTTACATTTATCAACATTATATTTCATTTGCTGTTTTGTTGCCCAATCACTTAGTAGGAACCCAGGGGCCAACACAGCTTTGGGACAGGGGGACCTCACATGTTTTCCGCTGCCCTCAGCTGTTCCTACCACTGCCCAGCCCTGGAGCTGCAGCCTGGACAGCATTCATCCTCACTCACACTCCAGAGCAAGCGCCCCTCCTCCTTACAGCAGCCATACCTTAGCCTGGCTCCAGCCTGCCCCCAGCAGCTGGCTCGGGGGCATCCCACTCCCCCATGTAGCATAGCCGCCCTTTAGCAGCTGTGGCCACGCTGCCCCTGCCGTAAGTTGCTGACCCCAGGTATAGAGCATGAGTAGCCAAATTGTGGCTTGCAAGCTGCATGTGCTCTTTTACAGTTAAAGTGTGGCTTGTGAAACCTCCTCTTTCCCCTCCCTCCATTATTTGCTTCCCAGATAGGGGCAGGGTGATAGGGCTTCAGCATAATTGGGTTTAAGCGACCAGGGTTTGGGGCTTCCGTCAGGTGCCTCGTGCAGGGCTGACACCACATGCCTCAGCAGGTACATCTGGCTTTTGAACTGCCTCAAGATTATTGTATGTAGCTCACAGGGCTGATAAGCTTGTCCTATAAGGGGGAGTTGAAACATTCATCGAAAGACAAGTCTTCTCAAACCCTCCTTGATGCTGAGGCTTGTGAGACCATGGTTCTGGCACCGATGTTGATGCTGAGACATGCCCTGGTACAAACACCAATGAATGAGCTCTTTCAAGTACCAAAATACACATTTGAAGAATGTGCCCCATGTTTCCGCGTTATAACTGGTACTAGCATTGGACCTGCATCCATCAACACTGTCCTTCCAAGAGAGGTGGTACTCCTTGCCATCACCAGGCCACTCCTTTGTCCTGCTTTGAGCAGGGAACCCTCTTTCATTAGATCTGAACATTAGTAGGGAGGAACTCCAGAAATGCCTTTTACAAAGTTTTGGAGCATGAGTGGCAGTAGACAGGCCAATCACTATATGATCAGTACCATTACAATTTATTATCATGTGTAGCCCAGTCAATGCTCAGTGAGGGATACCTCCCTTTATGGGTCAGTGGGCGGCCACTTCGCCTTCAGTTATACATGGGGAATCAGCTGCAGCACTGGTTCCATGGCTCAGACCTGTACAGGCCAAGCACACAGTCAGTCAGCCCTGGCCCTCACTCAGGGCAGGCAACGATAGTTCAGCGGCTAAGGATGGTCCCTGTGTTCAGCCTTTTAAATAAACCATCACTAAATGTAGGCCCTAGCTTAGGGCAGGGCAACAAATAGTTCACAAGGACTCAGGCCTCAGTTAGGCAGAGCCTTTAAACCAAAAGTCAATAAACCTAGGCCCTAGCTCAGAGAAGGACTACAAATGGTAGCCCACAGTTCCAGTGTTAAGGCCTTAAGTCACTGAACATAAATGATTTGATGTTGGCTGTGTGTCATGGAAAGGGACTTCTTACATTTTTAGGAAATTGTGGAATACAGCAGAAAGTTCCTCAAAATGGAAAAGATTATTAATATGGCTGGCTCAACATGGCCTAGGCAAGGGATGGGCAATAATTTTTTGTTGGGGCCATTTCAGAAATTTCTGAAGTTTCCCCGCTCCAAGACCGTGATTGGTCTGGGGGTGGGGGAGCGCCTTTCTCCCCCGCCTTAGGTGGCCATGCCCCTGGCTGGGAGGAGACTTCCCATGCTCCCCGGTCCCCAGGCCAATCGGAGATGAAATAAGGATGGTGATAGTTTGCAAATACTTCTGTATAGTTATAGTTTAGATCTCAATTCTGCAAAAACTTACTGGCTGAAATCAAAGTAAAGCACATACATAAATCTTTGCAGAATCCAGTTTGCCTTAAGTCTGCAATAATGAATATACTTGACTACTCAAAAGGATTAAAGTTATGATTTAACAATGTAAACATGAATTTGTTCCTCAGAATATCTGTTTTGGGGGGAATCTATATATGTAGATAAACTCACACTGTGTGCATTTGTGACCTTTCAGCATCTCTCTTTTAAAGGTCGTTTGTATGCTATGCAGACTGGGATGAAGCTTGACAGTAAAACACCAGAATGCCGTAAATTTTTATCCAAGCTGATGGATCAGTTGGAAGCTGTAAGTTCTTGGGGTTTTTGTGTGTGTGTGTTTGGTGGTGGGGGTTTTGGGGGGGGACGGGGAGGGGGGGCTATACTACTAGATAATCTGGTTTTGCCTTGCTTTTTTTAGTCTTATTTAAACAATTGGAATTCTTTCCCTTTTCATTAATTAATGAAAGAAATCTTCTTGTGCAGGCATACTGGTTAATTGTTGTAATGTATTATTTTTAAATTGCATGCCAGCAGGATTGAATGAGGGCAAAGGGTCTACATATATTTACATAAACCTAACAGAAATCTAATACAAAAAAAGTTTACCATACAATTCCATGTGAAGTACACTCTACAATGATATTTTATTTAAACTCTACTGAGAAATTAGATGACCTAAGAGGACAGGATTTTCAAAAGTCCTCATTGGATAAAACGATAAAATGATAGTGGATGTGGTTAACCCTATGCTGACTGCTTTTGAAAATCTTACCCCTTACCCTACATGTCTTGCTGGTAGAACTTTTCTCATAGTGGTAAGATCAACTAACATAATCTAAAATGTTAAGATCTGTCATAATTTCTGAACTCGATCAGTCAAGATTAAAGTGGAAACCTTAATCTTACTCATTTATTATGTAAATAATTATCTGAGCCTCTGAGAAGCAAGGACCAATACTGTGCCAAAAAAAAATCTTAAACTCAAGAGGAGTAAATTAAAAAAGAAAATATATTGTTAAATACATCAGTAAAATTATAGAATGCCACCTTAGGAATTCTAATTTAAAATTCCTGTTGCTCTTCATGGAGGCGTCTGCCCTTTTCTTCTCCCTGGTGGAAGGAAGGCTATGCTTGGAAAATAATTATCACCATCATGCCAGTTATGAAAGGATCTTACGAAAAGTGCCCTCAAAGTAGTCCTCCTCTGGGTTAATCTGATCTCATACTGGAGCTCTGAACAGATAATGAAAATGGGGTCTGTGTCACTGAGGAAAGAGGCAGCCCAAGGTGAAGTAGAGGCAGTCCCCGACTTACGTGGATCCGACTTACGTCGGATCCCTAGATACGAACGGGGTGAGGCAACTCCCGCACATGCGCAGCAGCATTCCCGGGGCTCGCTCACCTGGGTCCTAGGATCCTCCTCCTCCTCGGGCCGGCTCCGACTGGGGTCCCGCAGAGCTGCCGGGCAGAGGAAAAGTGCCTCCCCACACCTGCTGCCCCTCCCACCCCCCCGGCCAGCAACAGGCTGCCCCCTCCCCTGAGCAACAGGCTGCCGAACAGCAGACAAAAGCAGCCTCTCGGCCCCCCCTCCCCCTATACAT